ATTTTTTAAAAAATCTTTTCCCATTTTTATTTTTCTTTTTGTAGGTAGTTCATACTTTGGCCTAAATGTTACCATTTATGAAGGGTTATTTCTTCTACGGGGTTTTGTTTTTACTTCAAATAAAGTAAATTGGCCACCAAATTATCAGAATAACCTGTAATTTACAGAAGAAGCAGGGAAAGAGTATTTAAGGGGTATTTTATAGGCTAGACATGGGTGTAGCAAGAGTGGCTATAAAAGAGATTTTTCTTGATGTTACCTGCTTTCTTTAGCATGGGTTTTTCCACTTAAATAAAGGCTTTGTGCATTTGGGATATTTAGTTACTTGGTAGAAAAAAGGAAATGAAATCCTTTTCCTTTATTTAAAACAACTTTCATTACTGAGAATCTTTAATTTTAGAAAATAAGTTATAGCCAGGTATAATGTCACTTGCCTTTACACTTAACTACTTGTGAGGAAGATCTCAAGTTTGAGTCCAGCCTGGGCAGCTTACAAGACCCTTTCTCAAAATAAAACACCAAAAAGGGCTCAAGTTACAGCTCAGGCCTATCTGGGCTCAATAACGAACAAACGAAGGAACGAATGAATGAATGAATGAATGTTGTTTATCTTTTAATATTCTGATAAGTAAATAAATGTTATATATCTTTTAAAATTCTGAGGAGATAGTTATTAACAATTGCTCAGGTTTCTGAAACTACTAGAGGCTAGCTTTTAGGGTTCATAGGGTTCATTATACTACTTTTTAAGTGACAATAACCAACTATATACAGTACAGATTTTAAAAATTTCTCTTTTAATGCACTCTATAAACAAGTCAGTTTGAAATAGATTATAACTGAACTATCTATGGTCACAGTAGCTGCCCTAAAGTATTATTTCTAAGAAAATAGAAAAAAAGCAATAACTTAATTGTGAAGAAGTAATTGTGATTATTTGATATAGTTGAATAACTGCTTAATAAGGTGAACTCAAACATTCTTTATTTCACATTTTAAAATGAAAGCAGTATTTTAGCGGGATGGAAAAACACCAGCTTATCTTTGAAACATTGTAAATTTGTCTAAATACTCTTTTCAAAGCTCTGAGTGTAACCAAGATCCTGTTGGGCAGGCTTTTTTGTGGGCGTATTAATTCGCCTTCCACGTGTCAATGTACCTATAGGTAAAGACATGAAACCACACCCTGTGTTCTGACCTTTTCCTCAGGGGACACCCACTAGAATCCTTTGGCTCAGCAGGACAGGCTATTTGAATAGCTCAGTTCAGAGCACTTTTTCTTTTCAGTGGGATGAAGCTGCTAGAACAAGGGAAGTGATGTTGCAACATTTCTCAAGACTGCTACTATGGAGATTTAAAACCTGACCCTTCCTGCCAGGATCTGCTTGGAAAGCTTGCTTATTACTACAGCATATTTGATATATGCAAGCAGTTTTACTGCTCAGATATTTATATTTTCATTCTTCAAGGATTTTATTATTCTACTTAAAACAGTGGGGCTTTGTTGTTTGCTTCCTTTTATTTTTGTTTTATTTGGATAACAACTGATAGCTGGTTTTTTTTTTAGGTTTGTAAGATTTTTTCCTGGATTTTTTCACTCCTTTAATTGTTTAGCTCTGTGAATTAATACTATGTTTTTGTGATAGTGCTAAAAAAAATTTTATACCAGTGTGCAGTATATTGATAAACTAAAAAGAACTTTTAATGTAGTGGGAAACTGGATGAACAAATAAGGGAACCTAGCAACTTCGTCTTCTAGAATGGATTCTTACAAGACCTATTTGACAACTGTCAAACACAGTGGCTCTTGGTTGGAAGAACAAGATGAAGACATTTATGAGGTTGAATCTCGAGTGCCTTTGCCATATCCTTTTCCTCTGTGTGAACATTTGGATGAAAATAACTCAGTAATTATTAATATTTCTCTTTTTCATTTTATTCATAAAAGAAAAGGGCACATATTAAAGCTGATTTCTAAAATTTCACTTCCTACCCCTCCTTATTCAGTAAGTATAAAAAATATTTTAAAAGTAAGTATAATGAGAAATGAAAGTTTCAGTATCTTTAATAAGGATAAATGGAATAGAACCTTATTTTGTTATTGTTTGGTGTGTTACTACTCATTCATCCATGATGTATTCAAGTGCTAAAATTGTAACTGGTTTCAGAGCCCCAGCTTGGCTATGTTTTTAATTCCAGAACTCAGAGATATTACATTTCTACAGTACCAGGAAAGCTATTTTAAAAGAATCTTCTTGTCCTTGAGATTCTTGCTTTTGTATGTTTATGACACCATTTCTAAATATAAATGAAATGATTAAATTTAAGAGAATAGGCATTGTGATACCTAAAGCAGCTAAGTGAATTGTCTTTGAGCCAGTCAGGACATGTTTACAAATCCCATGTCATATTGGGTGGAGTTCCAGACAAGGAAAAAGGAAACATTTTCTAAATTTTTCTTAGCACCTTGAGGAACATATTTTCTGTTTTTAAGTTGCCTACTAATCCTGTAGAGAAATACCTTTTTTTTCCCACTTTTAAGGTGAAATGTATTTTATAAAACCTGCCAAGAATGAGTATTTAACATAAAGATCCCTGCATATTTAGTTTTTTAGGTTCATTTGATACTTATCGTTGTGAATGATTCACAACTTATTCAGCACATTTTATGACACTTATGGCTTTAACTATCTATAATAGCTAATATTTAACAAGCCAGATGTTTTTCAGAATTGTTTTGTTACCTCTCCTAAAACTTTCATTTTAAAGTGACAGAATATTCACTAAAGCTTTACCAGTACTGTAAATGTTTCCTGAATACTTTTTTAAATTACTGAATTTGAGATTTTTTTTTTATGTACTTAATGCTTTTGTAAATGTTAGGACCAAAGCATATCCTGACTGGATGAGAGAGATTTGGAGAGCTCTTAGCCAAGTAAAGTATAGATTCTATGTACTATCATAAATAATTGTGAGCTGTACTGTATTTGACTACTTCAATTTTTTTGTTTTGTTTTATAAAACCAAATTTATTATAGTTTTGTCGTACATATTTAAATGCATTGTAAAGGCTCGTTTAGATCTTGTGGAATAGAACACAGAAACAAAGGCTTAATTTACTTGCCTGAAGTATATATGTATCATGTTGTAAATACTTCATTAAATTTCTATAGTAAATTTGGAAATGGGAAAAAATTTTGTTATAGCTTTGAGCTCTTTTAGATTTCATGTATTCACTACTTAACCATTGTATACAGAAATAATTACATGTGTATGTAGAAGCAATTAAGTAGAAGTTGTACACATTTCCTATGATGAATGTTATCATTATGTATATCTGAAATGTACCAATAAAATTAATTTTAAAATAAATAAAAATTGACAAACTGCTATAAAAAATAAATAAATATAAGTTGTGCCAGTTCATGAGAGTAGTAATATACAGGTTACTTCATACTTTATGGTCATGTTTCTTTTATAGCAAAAACTAATGTATATTAATTACCCACACTTAAAGGAAAAATACTTTGCCAGTTGAAATAAAACTATTTATAAGTTTTATTCTTTTGTAGGTAACATTTTCATAGATATTTTAGGAAATAATTTATAATTTAAAATTTATGCTTAATTTTCCATGATGAGTCATATATTTATCCTTGTATTATTTCCAAAGGATATTTAAAACATCCTGTTGAAACAAGAATAATTTCATATTATTTTGGAAATAGATTTAGTGACCATAAAAGCCAAAATCCATTTGTTTTTTTGTTTGTTTTTTCCAAAATCTATTTGTTATGGTAAATACTGCTTAGATATGAAGAGCAAAAGTATTTAAAGAATAAAACATTCTTAAGTATTATCATAATTTTATAATACATTACTGATGTCTGACTAGAAACCACTACATTTGATCATGTTTTTAGCTTAAAACATGGCAGTAATGTCTTTGTGATGCACATAGTACTTTACATATAAATTTACAAATTTTTATGAGACTTGCTTGTTAATATGTACAATTATTTCTTTTTAAACTATTTGGACTAAGTACTAGAAACATTTGAGGTCAGATTTTGCCCATATACTTATAGTAAAAACAGATTAAAAAAGTGATGATATTCAGAAACCTAGATAAGTAAGGCAGAAACGGTGCTTTTCTATAATTTCATACAGCAGATTCAGTAGCAGTGATCCACTTATCTCCTAATTGAGATCCTTGGCTTCCAGTATGCACTGCCATTCTACAGTTTAAGAATATAGTCCATTTGTGCCAATGACAGCATTTTATGGTGGCTCTGTTTTTTATGGTTTTGTATTTATAAGATTTTGAAAATAAACTGAATATAGAATCTTTATTTTTTTTGCAAGGGAACAGAAATAAAGCACATGGGTTTTAATATAATTTCACTTTTTGTGGCACTGTGATTTTAACTGGCACCATATATATATATGTTTGTTTTTTTTGTTGTTTTTTTTGTACTGGAGATCGAACTCGGGACCTTGAGATTGTGAGGCAGGCAGCGGAACCACTGAGCTAAATCCCCGGCCCACCATTATATTATATTAATAGTCCTTCACAAAGTACAGCAAACATTGTAGCATTGTAGGAGTCACAATCTATAAATGTTAAATAGAAAAGAAACAGTTTTTCATAGACCATGTAATTACATAAAATTTTTCAGCAAATACAAAGATACTGGGCTTCATTAATGTTCTGCTTCCCTTTACATCACAGAATACATATCCATTGAATTATTGATTTATTTCCCAAAGAAGCATACTCTTTTGTCCCATAAACTAGAGTATTTATCAGAAGTGACATACAGCTAATCTACTCGTGTACTGTGACTTATCCTTCCTACTAGAATTAACAGGCGTTAGAACTAGTTAAGTGACATCATTTAATAGTATATTTTTATTTTAAATCTTTTTTTAAGCTTTAATTGAAAATGACACTGGTAACACCTTATCATCCTTCATGTGCTCTTTCCCTCCTGGTTTAGCTTGAACATGCGAAAGTTACACAGACAGAGTTGATGCGTGAGTCATTTAGACAGAAACAAGAAACAACAGAATTCCTCAAGTGTCAAGAAGAACTGCGAGAACGTCTTCATGAGGAGTCCAGGGCCAGAGAACAGCTGGCTGTGGAGCTCAATAAGGCTGAAGGTAATCACCTTATCTTTGGCAACTGAGATTGGAGAAATTTCAATCTTATAATAGAAATTTGGATGTACAGCCAGATTTGAAAACACTCTTAATTTAGAGAGCAGCCATTGAAAAGTGCTTATAGTTTGTCTTCAGAGTTCCTGCAAGCATTTTGGGGGGGGGGGGGGGGGGTGTGCTTCTGGTGTCCACATGGCTCACCTTCTCTGCCCTAGGAGTGTGAAATGGCAGCAGGGGAGCTTCCTTCCGGGTGGGGGGGGGGGCAGGTACCACAGCAGGCTTCCCT